CGGACTTCCATTGTCTAATATGAGCCATTCTTAGACGGATTGGTGAAGAGGACTGACACTAAGGAGAAAACATCTTTATACCGAAAACCCACTGAATTGTCGGAAACGATAATGCAACCTTTATAGTCTGGAACATCTAAGAAATGTCGGGGATTCTCTTCGGGGATCTCTTCTTTAGATACTTTCACGGGAAGCGTTCAAGTGACTTGGCCAAGTACAACATCAGAACCTGCTTCGGATCCGGGAATACTATCCGTAGCAGCCTTACGAAAACCAGCATTTGCATTTACCGAAAACCTGTGAGTGCGGTAAATCCTAGATCCGTGAAACTGAGAGACCATTGAAATCCGCATTGCTGAACACAAGCAAAACACACAGCGAGGAGAAACTAACAAATAGAAAATAGGAGAGCATGTTTGTACTCATCAAATTGACAGAAAGTGGTCCCATGTTGAGATCATCCATAAGGAAGAACATTGGTTTAAGAGGAAGTTCATATGGAAACCTGTAATCAAGCGGATAACGGTTTACTCCCGCTGAACTGTTGAAGCGAAAAGACGATTCAGTACAGGATTCTTCACTGAAGTTACTCCTGCATATGCTGTTGGCGATACAACTACCGCAATAGATTTTCAATTATTGTCGAGTACCTACTACTGGTTTTGTCATCAAATTTTTAAATGCCAATACTGTAACAAGTAGATCATTATTCACCTCTAAATCAAATGAAAGTCACACGGAAAAGTGAGATTATAGCCATTTCTCGTACGACAGTATTACTTTCAGTGCATTTTTTATTCTACGACAAAGTTTATGGTTCTACCAGCATAGCGTGGCTGACTGAAGACTGGTCATGAGGGGATGTCCACAGGGAGGGGTCTCATCACCCCTTCTTTGGAACATAGTTCTGGATCCCCTGATTAATCACCTCAACAATAATTGATTCTACGAAATTGCATATGCAGATTACATAGTTATCATGCAGACCGGCAAAGTTGTGAACACACTGTGCGATAGAGAGCAGGATGGGCTCAAATTAATAGAAACATGGTGTGACGAACACCCACTGTCGATCAAGCCCAAGAAAACTGAGATGGTTCTTTTCACCAAGAAAAAAAAAAGCGATTTATTTCCAACAGGAGTACTCAGTTACAGGAAATGCTCTTATTACAGAGTATACAGGCTGATTCACGGTGGATGGCACATTAGACGTTTCTGGTGAACCAGACAACGGATCACTTTGAAAATTTAATGGAGGGCATATTCGGACATTCTCTAGCCAACTAAAATATTTTCGACAATGNTTAAATGGAATGCATACACAAATACACATATGTATGTGTATGGTTTGTATGGCCCGCTTGAATTCTCCTTCACTGTAGTCATTCCCTTTGAAGGAATTTTTCAAGTGAGTGAGTTCCTGAGAATCTCAGGTTCAATTGGAGTTTTGATTCGAGGGAGAGAGATTCAAATACCAGTATCATAGTTACCGCGTTTGGAAAGGAAAAAACATGTCTACCGCAGTAGTACACGAAACGTCAGGGTTAAAAACTGGATTGGTGATAACGTTAGAATAGTACTTTCTTTTGAATACACTGAATTGTTCATTGATTATAATTTCTCTATGAAAAATGTTGCCCTGCTTCAACAAACATACCCATCGTTATTGTTATTATTATTGTTAAATAATATCTAAATCAAGAAATAACATTCTCGCCTGCATTCACTTTCAATAATTTTTGTATCAACAATTTATGTCAATGATTTCAACACATCTTTTGATAACTAAAAACACAACTTCAATATTTTTTTATTAACTGAATCTTCTTGTTTGACAATTTTTCAAACAGCCTCACGCAACGTTTTTTGTTTTAATTAATTGTAGTTCATTACGGAAGTGCAAAAGGGCTACAAATTTTCATTATTTGTTTCTTGAACGGGTCAAAATTCTTCACAATTGTTGTGTCAAGTTTCCATGAAGCAGAAAATTTGCAACTCCGTAGTTTGCTATCAAGTTATTACTTTCAATCAACACAAGTTTCGACTTCTGAGGGTTGTCGTTCGTATGGGTGCGACAGCTGGTTAACGGAAAAACAGAAACAGAAACAGAAACAGAATCAACTCAAATGAATGCCATTGTTTTTTCATTCCTGACCTCTTCAAAGAAAATCATTTTAAAAATCGTTATTTTCTCAGTAAATCACAGCCGTTAATATTATGAGACACATTTCATCATTATGCTATTAATAATTTTAATGCGTGTTCAGAAATACAACTCGTGAACCATAATATGTTCCAATTGAATGAAATAATGGAAAATAATAAAGAATGTCATTATGGGGTTTATTATTGCCTACTGTTTCATGGAATGTTTTTGTTAGTGTACATTGAAATGCTCTCATCAAGGAACACCAGTTTTTCATCCAGAAACTAATTGTTTTCAGATTGAAGCTGGTGAAAAATGGATTCATAAATTATAACCGGTAAGGCTGGTAGCACACGCGCGATATAAAAACGTGCGTGTGTGGTGCGTGTGTGGCGCGTTGAAATTGACTCACCGCATTTAGTTCATGCACACGAACGTCGTTAAGAATGCAGTAAACAAAATGCAGTCATTGAATGATGCTGATGTCGGGATTTTATTTTCCTCGTTTCAAATTATCCACAGAAAAATAAAATGAAGAGGGAAATGTTCATTACTTGCTGTGCCTCAAATACAGAGGAATTTATCTATCTCACTAATAGGACTAATCTCTTCACTTTAACGATGTCATACAGGTAATATTATATAACATAACCAAAAAAACTATTGAATTAATGAATAGTAATGTACATATATGAATAGTAATGTATATTCCTTGTATATTTTTCTTTATAATATCAGCTGAGGAATCTATTTTTGATGAATTTTGTAACGGGTGATGTTGTGAATCATTTCACGGCATAAACATTATAGTCCAGTCGTCTTAGTAAGTTCACCTCGGATTTCCAGCTACCCTGCTATAAACTTGTATAAACTTGTATTTTGACATCTTAAAAGTTGTCCCAAAACCTACCAGGTCACAAAAATATATTTTTTGCACATTTTTTGCAAATAACTCGTTTCCTATGATGTATTCATCATCAGTTTTGTAGAGGATTGAATTCCCTACAATTTCTGTTTCAAAACATTTTTCTACATAGATAGATAGATCTCTATTTGTTGGTAAATCGGTAGTCACAGTCGAAAACACTCCATATAAAGTTTGCTAATTATTGATAAATACATAATAATTAACTATTTTCATTTCATATCAACTTTCTACTTACTTATCAATTTTCAATTAACTATCGATTTATTGAATAAGACTTACCTGCCCGTGTAGTTATAAAATTGTTGAGGAAAATGGTTGAATTATATTGTTATTCTGATGTAATTTATATAAATAACTTCTTGAATAAAAAAATAAAAAGAAAGAAAGAAATTTCTAATCATTGTTTTTTGTTTCATTATTTCGTACGTTTATGATTGTGGAAATAAAAAAAATTACAAGCACAACAACTCCTAATTTTAATTATAATCTTCTTCATCGTCGTCTTCCGACCGCTGTATTATTTCATAGTGCTCTTCTTTATCGTCTTCAACGACACTTGTCTCCAGGTCTTTCACGATTTTGTGGTCAGAGGTTCTGTCTTCTTCATTAACATCGCTCCTATATGGTAAAGCATTGGTACAAGCTTGCCCATTACACTGGCTACAAGATAAACATCAATACAACGCCGATTTCCTGCATCCACATCGCGAATCACAACCACTCATGCAATTGCATAACATTGTGTTGAGCAATTTCTCTGGAGCAGCTGCAAAAATTGTCGTGATAGGCTAGGAATTTTGGATAGAATTAGGATTATGATTGGGATTGGGATTGGGATCATGATTAGGATTAGGATTGGGATTAGGATTAGGATTAGGATCAGGATTAATATTAGCATAGAATATGGATAAAATAGGATAGGATAGGATAGGATAGGATAGGATAGGATTGGATAGAATACGACTAGGATTAGGATGATTTATGACAGGACAGGACAGGGTAGGAGAGGATGGGATAGGATAGGATAGGCTCAAGATAGGTAATGGATATAATTAGGATAGGATTAGAATTATAATTAGGATTAGGATTAGGATGGGAATTTGTTACGCATTGTGCAACCCCATTCCAGGGGTTCCAAATCATGCCCTAACCAAGTTTAACGTTGATAGTAAACACGATTGAAATGTTATTGAGCTGCTGCACTTGTTGGTGGAATATTTCATAAGTACACATGTTCATTCAATTTTGTAAACTCGGCGTATTGTGCATAACGAAGATGATCGATACTATCCACATATTCTGGATAGACTGCCAACAAAATTTGAATTCCATTCTCAAATAACTTTTGAACTGGACAGTTTTCTTTTCTAAATGATGCTGCCAGTTGATCTAAATTCGGCAGTTACTAAAATGCTTTCGAAAACGTTTTTCTTTTCAATCGTATAAGTCGCTAATTTCAGAAATCGGTAATGGAATAGATAGATATTTAGTTAATGAAAAAAAGGTATTGAATATAATGTAATAGTTGAGAAGAAATGAGAATTATCAATCATTATGTATTGATCAATAATTAATAAACAATCAATATACTTTTTTTGACCGGGACTTCAAATGATTGTCTAACCGCGCGCTCACCGCCCTCTAACTCGTAAATGATTCAATGTATAAAAATATTTTTGAAACAAAAGTTGTAGAAAATTCAATCCTCTACAATATTGGCCATTAATATAAATAGCAAAAAACCCATAGGAAACGATATATTGGCTGAAAATGTGCAAAACATCGAATTTTAATAGTCGCGTATACCCTACCATATATAGGTTCTAAGACAACTTTCAGGATGTCAAACTACAAGTTCATACAAATTTATAGCTGTGTACCTTAAATTTCGAGATACTCACCAAATTTTGACTAAGGTGACTGGACCATTAAAGCCTAATTTGCAGTGCCTAGAATTATACGCCCGTGTGCTTCGAGTCTAACCTGAAATCAATGTTGAAGTGACCTCTCAGCACAATCCAATTGAATCAAAATCCAATAACAAATACTCATTGTATTGTAAATAAATTAAAAAATCTGTCACCTGCAATCATTACCAAAATGTTACCTATGCGTAATCATCTCCAAATCGTAAAGAAATTTCAGCGTTTCGATGATCATCGGTCGGCTTTCGTCACATCCAGATACGTATGGATGCTCCTTCACTCTTTCCAAGAAAAATTGTGTGTCTAACAGTCCCAGTCTGATGCATTTCATTAAGGATACGATGTGCTGTTTCCTGGCGTCTATGTCGTAATCTATCCACCTCAAGATAGTTTCCCAGACCGTCTCCTCACTCTTAACATTCAAATCATCCGAGTTTATAATTTCTTGAAGTTCTGATAAGGACAGGGTCAATATTTCATCACTCTCTGTAGATATTTGCGCGAAATTTTTCATAATATATTTCCATGTATAGTTTACCAACTCCCTACAAAAATGATTTCTAGCAAACATTAAAACCCCAATGCAACTTCTGGGGTTCAAGTTGTTTTCCAAAAACTTGCAGCACAGTTCCAACACTCCCAATATGCTCAAATAATCGGCTGTGATCAACAACGAATAAACATTGTCTTGGTTTATATCTAGTTTCCTCAAATAGACGTACACTAATAGTTTTTGGAGCATTTCAGAAGTCACTCCTGGTAAATGTACCCTGTTTTTCTCTCTGCTGTGCAGTGTTGTGGTGAAAAGAGCTCTAAAACGAATAAAAATATTCAATCCTATGAAATATAACAGATACAGAATTAAAAATAAATAGAAACTCATTAGTTAAGTAGTTTGGACTAACATAAGTGGCTATCAGGAATGAAGCGATAATTTTCATTCTGATACATGAACAGCAATGTGATTTATCAATTTGAAAGTTTTCAATCTGTTGCTGACTTCCGTTGATACTCTGCTACTTAGATTTCTTCGTATTTTTATTAATTTATATGGAAAATCTAGATTTCACATCTCCCTTCCAAAAAAATTTGATATTGGTAGATGAAAGTTGGGGAGGTTGAATATATGACAATAATGGTAATGATGAATTGTTTATTGTTTGCTAGCAAAATAGTCACAGAATTATGTAGCTTAACCCAAAAAAAACAGCAAATTGACCAATTCTTTCACATTCCCCTAAAAAACAGAAAATGATGAATCATCTCTTGAATCTACTCACTTATGCAAATACAAATAACCCATAACAACAACCTGATTCGATATAAAATTGACTTGCGATGAAATATGACATGCCCACATTAGTTGTGAAAACAACTGCTTGTGTGTTTCAAAGTGGTTGAAAATGTTTCATAGCGAATTTTATTAGTTCGGACTTCCATTGCCTAATATGAGTCATTGTTAGACGTATTGGTGAAGAGGACCGACACTAAGTGGGAACCATCTGTATATAATAATAATAATAACAGTATCGTTTATTATGCATAAAAATACATTTATACATTAAAGGAAGAAGGTTAGCCAAAGGCTATCTTCCACCCTTCCCAAAAATTATACAGTAAGTATAAGAACATAATAATAAACATACTTATTTAAATATGTATGTCAGAATGCCTGCTTAGTAAACTATATAAATAACTAGGTGTTTTAGTTTGAAGCAACTTAAACAAAAACATTTTTATTAAGTATTGAACTCTGTACCTCATATTCAGCTCCTTCATTTTTAACAAAAATGGGGTGACATGTTCACCATGTGGTATACAGCATACGAATCGCATGCAGGCATTTTGTATACGGTGTAACTTCTGTTTGTTACATTGCGGCAAAGAATTGTAATACACCAAACAACAATACTTGATATGGGGGTAAATAAGAGTTTTAACTAACCTGAGTTTCATTTCTTCTGATAACTGATGCTTGAATTTATATAGCGATTTGAGTTTGAAGAATGATACTTTGAAAATGTTTGTCACATGTTCGTGGAAAGACAAAGAGCTATCTATGGTTTAGCCAAGATTTTTAGCACTGTCTACCCAGTCAATGTCTGCGTTATCGAGAGTGAGCCTAAAGTTACACTGAGTTTCTACTTTTTGTTTTTGAGACCCTATGCATCAGGCCATAGTTTTATTTGGATGGATTTTCAGTCCATGATTCTCCGAGTATAGGAATGTTTTGTGCAAATCTGTGTTTTTATTTTGGCCACGCAACTTTCTGTATAGGGGTTATGAGAAGACAAATATAGCTGTATATCATCTGCATATAGATGTACTTAACAATGTGATAAGAAAGTGGGGTAATCAAAAATAAAAACTGAAAACATCAAGAGTCCTAAAATCCTTCCCTGCGGTACACCTGAGACTATTTCTTTTAGGGATGACCATGAGTAATCATCCAGTTTGACCCTCTGTGATGGGCCTGTGATATAGCTGGTCATCCGTTTAAGAGAAATGTCATCGAATCCTATAAACTTGAGCTTGCAGATGAGTAAATCGAAATTAACTAACTTGAAAGCTTTACTTTCATCAAGCAGTACTAAAATGATGACTTTTGATTGATCTTTGAATCTCGCAAGATCGTCGATTACTTGTTTTTTGCGAACCCCAGACTGCTCGTACGGGAGTATTCGATTTTCTTCAAGAAAAGCTCTTATTTGACGGGAAACATTTTTCTCGAATATTTTAGAGAATGAGGGCAGAATGCTGATAGGGCGTAGGTCACTGAACGTGGTAGGTGCATTCTTTTTCGGAATTGGAATTATGTATACCGAAAACCCACTCACACGGGACAGTATCTGAACCAGAAATCCAACCACTATCAATCGACTAAAAAAGGAATTATCAAGACACTAGTAGATCGTACTTTTGAGCTCTGTAATACGAAGGAAGGACTTTGGCTAAAAGACAGCAAGAGCCTCACAAGGAAGAGAAGCCGTCACAACCAGTGCTTGTACTTCCCTACATCAGAGGATTGTCGGAAAGGATAAGAAGAATTGGGTCTAAGTACAACATCACAACCTGCTTCGGATCCGGGAATACTATCCGTAGCAGCCTCACAAAAACCAGCATTTGCATTTACCGAAAACCTGTGAGTGTGGTAAATCCTAGATCGGTGAAACTGAGAGACCATTGAAAGCAGTATTGCTGAACACAAGGAAAACACAATGACGAGGAACTAACAAATCGGAAATAGGATAGCATGTTTGTACTCATCAATATAACAGAAAGTGGTCTCACGCTGAGATCATCCATAAGGAGAAACAGTGGTTTGAAGGAAGTTCAAAGAAGCTGCATATATATTGACCAACGATGCATTCAGCTAAGCTAGCGTAGAAATATGCTACATATGGAAACCTGTTTTCAATCGGATAACGGTCTACTTCCGCTAAACAGTTAACCCCCGCTAAACCGGTGAAGCGAAAAGAGGAAAGATGCAGGATTCTTTACTGAAGTTATTCCTGCATATGCTGTTAGCAATACAACTGCCAATTTTCAATTATTGTCGAGTACCTACTACTGGTTTTGTCATCAAAGTCTTAAATGCCAATTGGGTATGCCTCTGAAAACACTGATACAAGTAGATCATTATTCACCTCTAAATCAAATGAAAGTCACACGGAAAAATGAGATTATATCCATTTCTCGTATGACAGTATTGCTTTCAGTGCATTTTTTCTTCTACGACAAAGTTTCTGGTTCTACCTCACTATCAGCAGAGCGTGACGGACTAAGGACTAGTGATGAGGGGATGTCCACAGGGAGGCCTCTTATCATTCCTTCTTTGGAACATAGTTCTGGATACCCTGTTTAGTCACGTCAACAATAATGGATTCTACATAATTGCATATGCAGATGACATAGTTGCAGACCGCTAAATTTGTGAACACACTGTCCGATAGAGCGCAGGATGGGCTCAAATTAATAGAAACGTGGTGTGAGGAACACCCACTCTCGATCAATCTCAAGAACACTGAGATGGTTCTTTTTACCAAGAAAAAAAAAGCGATTTATTTACTACAGGAGTACCCAGTTTCAGGAAATGCTATTATTACATTGTATATATGGAATGAAATATTATAATAATGGAATATACAAATGTATAAAAGTGAATGCTGAAACAAAGTATATATAAAATTTTTAGTGATTTATGCAGGAATTTCATACCAATGATAACTCTCCTATTTTCCAAGGAAGTCATATCAAATCGTGTCAACAATATGTTAAGATCGATGTCCCTCGTGGGGTATTGGCCATCAACTTTTAGAAATAAGTATTTTAGGAACTTCCTTTACACGCTCTCAATTGATGGTAGTCGTAAACTGGATTCCATACTCTAACTAAGATCTGGCATACGCAAGATATAGTAATTTTAAGGTGGCAATACTTTTGAAGTTTTTGCCACTTCTGGATACGTTTAGTTGCAGACGATTATTATTACACCAAAGTTTGATAACATCTAATTCATGTTGTACACGTTGGCAGTCAGTAATGTCGTCGATTTTATAATATAGTTTCAGGTTGTCTAGACCACATGTAGCTTAAGAGCTGTGGGCCTATACTCACTCTCCCTGCTCTATATACAGAATCACTATCAGCATCTCAACCCATTTTGGTGGAAGAATCAGCTCGAATAAAAATGTCTGTAGTAATACGAGTTGTTGTCCATATCTTTGTTGTTTGATCGCGAATTAGACCCCATTCAACTTTCGAAGAATAACAAACATCCCCCGTTGAATTCCTTATTATGCGAGCAGTAATTCGATTTGAAAGAATCATTGAAGTACTTCAATTGAAGAAATTGAGTACTCACCTGAAATATGAGCTGCATGCGCAGAGAATCGCTCTGTGAACGGGAATTTCTGAACCATCATCCAGTACAATGGTGGCATCACAAAGTTGATTATTTTCCTTCAGTTCGAAAAGAGCTTGCATAGCCTGAATGCTCATGCATCTTCCTGAACCGACGTCCACAGTTTTATCCAAGGGTGTGTTCGATTCGCCCATCTCATTGTTTAAAGCCAGATTGTAAACTGTCGTTGGAAAAAGAACTTATCACAGATAATTTGGTACAAATGATTTGTTTTTATTAATGAAAATGAGGTGAAAAGTCAAATTTGAAAGATTGAAGTAATGATGGTAGCACCATTTTTGTTTCTTGGTAACGATAAGTCGGAACTAAATACTTTTGAATGACTTCACATTGGGTGTTTCACTTTTTTTGCATTCAAACTGTTCAGCCTGGTCTGATATTGATGAATATGTAAAACAGTACCTTGTTGCATAAAATAATTACAACAAAAGTTGTCATTCGATAATATTTGAATAAAATGTTTGGAATTCATTTTGGTATTCATTAAAAAAAAGAAGGAGTTTTTTACTTTTTTTTCAAGGACAAAACACAAGCTCTACGAAAAAATCCTTAAGGCGCTTTCAGAGCGGTGCCTGTGCGAAAGTAGTGATCCACATTGGATTTGAATCACTGGATGAAAGAGTTCTTGAACAGTGGAAGTTCGAGGTGTACTGAGTTGAACCTTAAAACGATGAGCAGCGACAATCCGTCTCGTATTTCTAATATGTACCGCACTTGGTGGAATCAAGTGTGACAATTCACTTAAAAAAAATATTGTCTAACACAGTGATTCCCAAAGTGGTCTATATCGACCCCTATGACAACCTGCAAGGGGTCTAAGTCAGCGAAAAAAAAATTTGGGGGTCCATGAAATGAAAATGGGGGTCCACGATAGTGGATCTCAACACATACACTGATAGTACCTATTTACTTACATCATACTATCTTATAATATCAAAACATATACATTATTTATAAAAGTACCTATGAAAGACGTTTTTTCCTTGAAATGGGTCTAAGAATTACCTCCTTAAATATTAGCATGTGTTTAAGTAATACCCTGTATAAGGGAAAGTTAGATTAAATGTGAATATCTCAAAATGTGTCCCCCTGTATACTATTGTTTTTTAATTTTTCCTGAAAATTATTGTTCAGGGTTGTGTCTCGTTTTCAACTCAAATAATTTGTAGCTCCCGAACCATATGCTTCAGACTATATGCTTTAAACTTTATTAAAATCTGCTTATTATGGAGTATCTGATAATGCGAAACAATATTCTCCAAATCATTCTTCCAAAAGTTATTCAGGGTGGCTCGTTTTAAATGGAATGCACTGTATACACATACACACATATGTATGTGTATGGTTTGTATGGCCCGCTTGAATTCTCCTTCACTGTAGTCATTCCTTTTGAAGGAATTTTTCAGGTAAGTGAGTTCCTCAGGAAGAATCTCAGGTTCACAAATACGTCGTGCTATATCAGCCACCGTTTTGAATACCCCTCTCTTTTGTTATGGCTAGTGGTTAGAGTTTTTTTTCAGGTACCTGTCTGCCGCAAAAAAATCCAAAAAGGTTACAGTACCTTCGTTTGTTTCACTGTGAATTGGCTTTTTGATCCGAGGGAGAGAGAATCAAATACCAGTATCATAGTTACCGCGTTTGGAAAGGAAAAACAACATGTCTACCGCAGTAGTACATGAAACGTCAGGGTTAAAAAACTGGATTGGTGATAACGTTAGAGCAGTACTTTCTTTTGAATACACAGAATTGTTGTTGATTATAATTTCTCTATGAAAAATGTTGCCCTGCTTCAACAAACATACCCATCGTTATAGTTATTATTGTTAAATAATATCTAAATCAAGAAATAACATTCTCGCCTGCATTCACTTTCAATAATTTTTGTATCAACAATTTATGTCAATAATTTCAACACATCTTTTGATAACTGAAAACACAACTTCAATATTTTTTTATTAACTGAATCTTCCTGTTTGACAATTTTTCAAATAGTCTCACGCAACGTTTTTTGTTTCAATTAATTGTAGTTCATTACGGAAGTGGAAAAGGTCTACAAATTTTCATTATTTGTTTCTTGAACGGGTCAAAATTCTTCACAATTGTTGTGTCAAGTTTCCATGAAGCAGAAAATTTGCAACTCCGTAGTTTGCTATCAAGTTATTACTTTCAATCAATTCGAATGAATGCCATTGTTTTTTCTTTCCTGACCTCTTCAAAGAAAATCATTTTAAAAATCGTTATTTTCTCAGTAAATCACAGCCGTTAATATTATGAGACACATTTCATCATTATGCTATTAATAATTTTAATGCGTGTTCAGAAAATACAACTCGTGATCCATAATATGTTCCAATTGAATGAAATAATGGAAAATAATAATGTCATTATGGGGTTTATTATTGCCTACTGTTTCATGGAATGTTTTTGTTAGTGTACATTGAAATGCTCTCATCAAGGAACACCAGTTTTTCATCCAGAAACTAATTGTTTTCAGATTGAAGCTGGTGAANGCGCCTTGAGGCATGGAACATATGTACCAAATATGCCAAAGATGTCTACAAAATTATCTCAGTTATTATTAAAAAACTGATTATTTTTGAAAACTTTGCCACCCTGTATCTCAAAAGTTAAGGCGTTTAGGACATACGTCCATAGGACGTTTTTTCCTTGAAATGGGTCTAAGAATTACCTCCTTAAATATTAGCATGTGTTTAAGTAATACCCTGTATAAGGGAAAGTTAGATTAAATGTGAATATCTCAAAATGTGTCCCCCTGTATACTATTGTTTTTTAATTTTTCCTGAAAATTATTGTTCAGGGTTGTGTCTCGTTTTCAACTCAAATAATTTGTAGCTCCCGAACCATATGCTTCAGACTATAAGCTTAAAACTTTGTTGAAATCTGCTTATTATGGAGTATCTGATAATGCGAAACAATATTCTCCAAATCATTCTTCCAAAAGTTATTCAGGGTGGCTCGTTTTAAATGGAATGCATACACAAATACACATATGTATGTGTATGGTTTGTATGGCCCGCTTGAATTCTCCTTCACTGTAGTCATTCCCTTTGAAGGAATTTTTCAAGTGAGTGAGTTCCTGAGAATCTCAGGTTCAATTGGAGTTTTGATTCGAGGGAGAGAGATTCAAATACCAGTATCATAGTTACCGCGTTTGGAAAGGAAAAAACATGTCTACCGCAGTAGTACACGAAACGTCAGGGTTAAAAACTGGATTGGTGATAACGTTAGAATAGTACTTTCTTTTGAATACACTGAATTGTTCATTGATTATAATTTCTCTATGAAAAATGTTGCCCTGCTTCAACAAACATACCCATCGTTATTGTTATTATTGTTAAATAATATCTAAATCAAGAAATAACATTCTCGCCTGCATTCACTTTCAATAATTTTTGTATCAACAATTTATGTCAATAATTTCAACACATCTTTTGATAACTGAAAACACAACTTCAATATTTTTTTATTAACTGAATCTTCCTGTTTGACAATTTTTCAAATAGTCTCACGCAACGTTTTTTGTTTCAATTAATTGTAGTTCATTACGGAAGTGGAAAAGGTCTACAAATTTTCATTATTTGTTTCTTGAACGGGTCAGAATTCTTCACAATTTTTGTGTCAAGTTTCCATGAAGCAGAAAATTTGCAACTCCGTAGTTTGCTATCAAGTTATTACTTTCAATCAATTCGAATGAATGCCATTGTTTTTTCTTTCCTGACCTCTTCAAAGAAAATCATTTTAAAAATCGTTATTTTCTCAGTAAATCACAGCCGTTAATATTATGAGACACATTTCATCATTATGCTATTAATAATTTTAATGCGTGTTCAGAAAATACAACTCGTGATCCATAATATGTTCCAATTGAATGAAATAATGGAAAATAATAATGTCATTATGGGGTTTATTATTGCCTACTGTTTCATGGAATGTTTTTGTTAGTGTACATTGAAATGCTCTCATCAAGGAACACCAGTTTTTCATCCAGAAACTAATTGTTTTCAGATTGAAGCTGGTGAAAAATGGATTCATAAATTATAACCGGTAAGGCTGGTAGCACACGCGCGATATAAAAACGTGCGTGTGTGGTGCGTGTGTGGCGCGTTGAAATTGACTCACCGCATTTAGTTCATGCACACGAACGTCGTTAAGAATGCAGTAAACAAAATGCAGTCATTGAATGATGCTGATGTCGGGATTTTATTTTCCTCGTTTCAAATTATCCACAGAAAAATAAAATGAAGAGGGAAATGTTCATTACTTGCTGTGCCTCAAATACAGAGGAATTTATCTATCTCACTAATAGGACTAATCTCTTCACTTTAACGATGTCATACAGGTAATATTATATAACATAACCAAAAAAACTATTGAATTAATGAATAGTAATGTACATATATGAATAGTAATGTATATTCCTTGTATATTTTTCTTTATAATATCAGCTGAGGAATCTATTTTTGATGAATTTTGTAACGGGTGATGTTGTGAATCATTTCACGGCATAAACATTATAGTCCAGTCGTCTTAGTAAGTTCACCTCGGATTTCCAGCTACCCTGCTATAAACTTGTATAAACTTGTATTTTGACATCTTAAAAGTTGTCCCAAAACCTACCAGGTCACAAAAATATATTTTTTGCACATTTTTTGCAAATAACTCGTTTCCTATGATGTATTCATCATCAGTTTTGTAGAGGATTGAATTCCCTACAATTTCTGTTTCAAAACATTTTTCGTACGTTGGTAAATCGGTAGTCACAGTCGAAAACACTCCATATAAAGTTTGCTAATTATTGATAAATACATAATAATTAACTATTTTCATTTCATATCAACTTTNTAATTTAAAAGTGCAGTACCGCAAAAGTAAGCAATCCTGTATGTCCATAATCGTTGAGTCTGACTAATATTTTGCAACACTTCAAAATTCAATCAGCAACATTGACGTAAAAGTGTAAACTTTCATGATCGGAGACAACTGTAGGAAAACTATTTTCCGGATTTTTTGGCCTTGGTCAGTACGTTTTTATGGCTGACGTTTCGTCTACTACTGCGGTATACATTATCAAAGACGAACGCGGTACGCTGGTAGTTGACTCTGGTTTTATATTATTATTAGTGAGCGTGGCTTGGTTCTTCTTAATTGGATTACCTGACCACAGTAAAAAGCGGAGTCAATCTCGTTCTTTTACCATAGGTGTGCGCTCATATAAAAAAGTCTTTTTCACATCTCCCATTTTCTAATCACTTGATAATAAAACAAACAATAATAACCAACTACAAAAACTAAAAACAATAAGAACAACAGCGAATAAACTGAAGACAATATCAATTTCCGATCGTTTATTATAACTAATCCGATGGCGGTGATACCGTCGAATCCTTCGATACTACAGCACTGAACGCGTTGGATGAGAATCTCATCCTGAGAGCGTTTGAAGGTCCCCGGCAACTCGGGCGGATCACGTGGTAATAGAGCCTACTGGTTGTATTATTCTACTGTGACCTGACCTTGTTTGTGTACATTTGAGGACAGGTAGCCAGATTTTATTAATGTTCATTGCCTCTTCTTTTCTATTAAAATCACCCCTGTGTTTTTTTAATTTCTATTGCCTCTATAGATATTCTTGTACAGTAATTTTGAGATTTATCGAGTATTACTGTATCTTCAAATGAGGTAAAAGAGCATGTTCCACTACAGCTGATTTGTCGGTTTGTCCGACACTTTCCCTTGGTTCCAATGTGAACCAATCCGCAGCTACAAGGAATCCGGTATACCCTAGATGTTGAAATCCTTAGTGGACCTGATGATTTTTGTTGGCCTTAATATTGGTTTCACGTCGTGTTTCTCCAACATTCCCCCAATCTGGTCTGTAGCATTTTTTACAAAGGAAAGGAAAGCTCTCTCCTTGACCAGCTTATCCGGGATTTTTCTATTTTAAGTCACCCAAAACATTGATATTATTCAACATTATTACAGAATTACAACAAAAACAACTAAAATCTATAAAAACAATAAAGTTATGCAAATACACATACATATACATTCCATTTAAAATGAGCCACCCTGAATAACTTTTGGAACAATGATTTTCAGGAAAAATAAAAAACACCCCAACAATAATATACAGGGGGACACATTTTGACATATTCACATTTACTCTAACTTTCCCAATCGCACCCCCATAGCATGTCATTTCAAAGTGATCCGTTGTCTGGTTCACCAGAAACGTCTAATGTGCCATCCACCGTGAATCAGCCTGTATATATATCTCGAATAATTACTAAAAGAATGCAATACCTGTGTTTATGTATGTAATCTTGGACATTTGGTAAGCCATCTATGACACATGCAGATAGGGCAGAACGGTAAATATTCATATCTGTTGCCTCGTACCATTCGTTAGTTTTCTCATCATAGCACTCAACATGATATATCGTCGTAACTCCTGAAATTATAAAGAATAATTCAATAAGGTAGAAAAAAAATTGCAAATTTCAGATAGGGAAAAAAACACTTTCGAGCGTACTACAAAAGTATTATCACCATAGAAAACATAATTGAATCCACAAACCATTGAATCCTCCAATCGCAAAAATCATATCATCAATGACTTCAATAGCAAAGTTACTTCTTGGGTTGTACATATCCGGAATAGGTACCCATGTGTTCGTTTGAGGGTTGAACTTCTCTCCACTGCACATTCTAGATATACCATTGAAACCACCAATGACATATACCTGGCCATGATAGGCAATACACGAAACTCCCGATCTTCTAGACCGCATTGGACTAATTAAGGACCACTGGTTGAACTCTGGATCGTAGACCTCTGCCGAATGCATACATTCCTGTCCATTGAAACCACCGGTAATGTAGATCTTACCTGGAGAAAATAGGTGGTAATAGGTGATAATAACTTATAACTTACAATAAGAGGTATAGTCGAAGTAACTGATATAGTAATTCTTAAAGCTATCGGCGAACTCAAAGGCCAAAAAAACCAATACAAAGAAATAATGCCGCTACGAATTAGTCCACGTGGACTGAAGAACTGGCGGTTCGTATCTGATAATTTTTACTAACCGAGATCTATGATTGGCTGAAGAGTCATAAAATTAAATTTGAAGGCATGTTACGGTTACCAATAGAATGTAGCATTGAGTACCGCCATTATGTCGTCAATGTTCAGTTCAGGAACTGATCGTGATTTGAGTGTTGAAATTCGATATTGGTGAAATTATAAATACTTAAAATTTTTGAATTGAAGGGGTTATATTTTTAGGTGTGATTAATTTTTGGGAAAGAAAGTTTTTGACTTTCTACTACTCCATCTTGATACAAANAAGTTTTACAGACAAAAACATTTGAAAATATGTTTGTGTTTTCAATCCCATCGAGTTGATTTGGGGAAAATTGAAACAAAGCATCAGGCGTAATTATATAATTTTCCAAAATTTGATAAGAAGGTGATAGAGCTAGTTGAAGAAGAAGTATCTAATATTACCGAAGAAGATTGGCAGAAAAGGATCAAAAAGTAATTTTAGTTGAAAAAGACTATATGGAGATTGGACACCCCCATATCAATGATGGAAATAAATTCATTATTGATTTAATGACGACAGTGATAGTGAAACGGAGAATATGGAAAATATGAACCAAGCATCAAATTTTTCAAGGACAAATATAAAATTGATGGTGAAATAACAGACATTGGCCTTTTCATTATTGTCCGAAGAACAATTTCCAAATTTTTTATTAATTTCACAAAAAGTATTACATTCGGATGTCTCATTAAATTTGCCTGTACTTGGGTTACATCGGGTAATATCCTTTGTGTTGGTGTTTTTCTAGGTTCATTGTTTCTAGGAATGTGTATTGTTTTGTGGAGTATATTGAATGTTAGGTCGTGTTGTGTTTTGATTTGAACTTGTTCCTCGATAAGTGAATTATAACTTTGGTTTTTGAAATTTTGTATTGAGCACCTTAATACAAAATTTCAAAAACCAAAGCAGATGAACTGAAAAATAAAATCAACGGGAGCAACAGCCACAACATCAAGAATTCAATGGAACTCACAGACAGAATCTAGCTTTCTCTGAAGGAAAAATTTATGAGCAAACAGGTAGACTAGCGATGGGATTCCCACTTTCTAGCATTATATCCGAAATATACCTGCAAACCATAGATTAATTTTTTTAACAATAATCGAAACAAATGATGAAAAAGGAGAATGGTTTAGATACGTTGACGATGGCCTATACATATCACACAACCAAAGGAATAAGAACAAATAACAGACGAAATCAATAAAATAAATCAATAACTGATTTGAGCATGAAAGAAAATGATTCGAAGCTCAACTACCTGGACATAACTATCGGATACAACCACAACAAAACAAAATTTCGAATGGCAATAAACGGGAAACCTACACAAACAAGCTCCACCTTACCCAGAAGTTCGAACCACCCACCATCACACAAAATGACTGCCTATAACGCATACATCTACAGAATCAAAATCAAATCAAAATAAAAAAAAATCAAAAATCTTTATTTCCGTAGACCCAGGGAAGGCATGGAAAAAGTCACATTACTCAGTACAATTACAATGAGGTCACAATCATAAAACAACATAATTATAAGATATACTATATAACATTTAGACCACAAACGATCCATGAAANGTTGAGGTTGCAGTCAAGGTCAAGGATGAAAACTCCGTGCTAGTTTGTCCATATTTCTGAAATGTTTATTTCCTTCTTCAGGACTTACTAAAAAATTGTAAACAAACTAACAACACTGTACAATGTCATAGATTGGATGAGACTACTTACTATCGTAAGTTTGCGAGAAGCTAGTTCCTTCAGAACAATCAAAACTTGTCGGTCATATTATGCAGAACAAACAGTATAGATGTAGATTTTATGATTTCAATCTAAATTTAATTGTAGATTGAAATCTTAATTACTCGAACAATGTACTTTCCGATCTAGATGTTCAGCAATGCACATGCCTAAAAACTTGACATGGGTGACAGACTTGGAAAGTGGTATATCATTTATATCATTTACAGTGAGATCGAGTTTTGCACATATTTTTGACGGCTGTGAAACCGTAGATGTATATATGAGAATCTAAAACCAAAATGAAATACTAACCGTTCAAATTGCATGCACTCGCATCTGATCTTTGCATGTTCATTGGAGCTATCAACGACCATTGATTATTCAAGTGATTATATTTTTCAGCTGTGTTTTGCCTATGGTGTCCATCATATCCTCCCATTGCGAAAATCAGGTTTTCTAAAACTGCGGTACTGACGTAACACCTAAAAAATTGTGAGTTAATATTTTTCCATGAAGGTTAATGAAAATTTTGAATAAACCGCTAAACAAGAGAAAATAAATATTTCGAATGACAAATCGAAACATTCACCACCGCCATCATTTGTACACAGTATGAACTGGAAAATGCCTACCGCAAAACATTTACTTTCCTTGGTGAAACCACAATGGACATTGAATTATATTCGACAGATCTTTCCTCATAGCAAAAATTATCGTAAATGCTTTGTTCCTGTCCTGCAGCAGAATCTCGCAATCAAGTGCCCCGATGAGTTTGTTGGGGGTTAAAATGGACACAAATATGTCTTGGCACAATCGCGTCGCTGGAATAACAAAGGCTGCTTCTCAAAGGCTTGGAACACTATTACGAACCAGAAAACTGTACACACCCCAACAACTAATGAGGCTTTATAAAGCTCAGATCAGACCTTCTTTGGAGTATTGTTCTCATGTATGTAGCATACCCTGAAGATGCTTGGTTCCATCCAGAAAAGAGTCATCCGCCTGATTGGGAGACAGGAACATCACTTGCAACCTTGATAGTCTGGAACATCGAAGAAAGTTTGGGGGTTTGACACTCTTCTATAGATACTTTCACGGGAGGTGTTCAAGTGACTTGGCATATTTGATTCCACCAAGAGGGGTACATATCAGAAATACGCGACGGACTGTGGCTGCTCATTGTTTCGAGGTTCAACTAAGTACACTTTTAACTTCACTGTTTGAGAACTCTTTCATTTGGAGAACTGCGTTTATGTTTATCTGCTTCACAGCGATTCAAATATTTTGCATACACCGCTCTTAGAGTGCCTCAAGGATTTTCCTGTGGTGCTTGTGTTTTTTTCTTGAAAAAAAGTTCATGACAAATCCAAAACAGCATTCAATTGAAGTAGGTATTCGGCTGATTTTCAGATTTCCTTCGCCAATGAGAACCTTCGTCATAGACTGTATTTTTTCACGTCAGAGTCGACATTTTATGAATGAACAAACCCAAGCCAGGAAGAAGTAACCAAAACCAAAAAGTGACTTGTACAAATATCTGCCGCATTCTGGAATTCGCTGCTATCTACGAATGTTGTGAAAGGCTGAATCTAGTTCCATACATACAATTACATAATATTTGATAATAGAAATAGTCATTTTTATTCATTGTACCATTACTAAACACAGGAAAATAAAACTACTATAAATACTCAATAAGGAACGCCATTTTCGAAAGCCAGTCTTTCACAATCAATCAGAAATAATCGAAATTTTTTAAAATCTTTTTGAAATTTTCCATGACAATTTTCTTTACTTTCTCAATATTTTCATTAGTTGTTTATGTGCTCACTTTCTGTGAGAGTATTACTCATAAATGATTTGCATCTCATCTATCGGGTAGAAGTCAAAGGATTAAATATACAACAGTATCTGATGTTTCTGACATATCTAACGGAGTCCCACAAGGCTCAGTACTCGGACCTACCCTATTTCTACTCTATATCAACGACTTGACTACCATCGATATAGGGGGTAAATTTACTTTATATTTGCCGACGACACTACACTATTATGTCACAAAACCAACACTAATGATCTATATAATGCCATCTACTCTGATATTTTCAAACTCTCAGATTGGTGTAAGGCGAATTAATTAGCTTCCAATGTCTCAAAAACCAAAGTTTTATCCTTTTACTGCATTCTTGATAATATTCCTCTAGCTTTGAATTCGAATGTGATTGAGAACACGTCATGCAACAAATTTCTTGGGTTATTAATTGATAATAAGTTGAAGTTTGAGGACCACATACTATCACTTAACAAAAAACTTTCATCTTCTAACGAACTAGGACTAACTGCAGCTGAAACTGTCTATTATTCATCAGTACAATCACATGTAATATATGGGATCCCTTTCTAGGGGGTAAGTAATCAAACTTGACTCGAGTCGATTTCTATTCTGTAGTAAAGGTCAGGCGGCGAGATTCTTGTAGATCTTTGTTTGTAGCAAACAAAATATTATCACTATATGCTCTATTCATTTTAGAAACAGTGTGTTTAGTGCATAAACATAGAACTGAACTTCCCTCAATTATCTCTNTAATTTTATTCGAAATGAAAGGGGTATATTTTTAGGAGAGATTAATTCTTTGGAATTAACTTCTCTGCATGATCTACGATTCTTTGTGAAGTTTATTTTAAAATTATTATCTTCTTTCTACGGAAGACACCAACATTTTTTGTATGAAGATGGAGTAGTGTAAATCCAAAACCTTTCTTTCCCAAAAAGGTTTTAGGTTTTCTAAACATCGGTTTCAGAAACAAAAACTTTAAAATTGATCTAATATTCCACTATCAAATCTATTTCCATTCAGTTGTAGGAAATACATGGAATTATATGAAGTTCACATTTCCGAATGTGTAATTCACATATTCAATAGACACTTACGAACCTTCTGGCGTGCATCGGCGCTACTTCTTTCCACACTTTGTTGACTGCATCAAAACATCTGCAAGAATTGAAATAGTCCATTCCATCAAATCCTCCTATCACGTATATATGGAAGCCAACAACGGCTGTGCCATGATAAGCTCTGGGACCTGTTGGATCCACCTCTTCTACCTTCACCCATCGGTCAGCCNTCCTGTATGTCCATAATCGTTGAGTCTGACTAATATTTTGCAACACTTCAAAATTCAATCAGCAACATTGACGTAAAAGTGTAAACTTTCATGATCGGAGACAACTGTAGGAAAACTATTTTCCGGATTTTTTGGCCTTGGTCAGTACGTTTTCATGGCTGACGTTTCGTCTACTACTGCGGAATACATTATCAAAGACGAACGCGGTATGCTGGTAGTTGACTCTGGTTTTATATTATTATTAGTGAGCGTGGCTTGGTTCTTCTTAATTGGATTACCTGACCACAGTACAAATCAACCAGTGAGTCCACTACCACTACTTTCATTCATAAATTCACGAAGTGACCTCGAAACGAAGTGCGGAGTCAATTTCGTTCTTTTACCATAGGCGTGCGCTCATATAATAAAGTCTTTTTCACATCTCCCATTTTCTAATCACTTGATAATAAAACAAACAATAATAACCAACTACAAAAACTAAAAACAATAATAACAACAGCGAATAAACTGAAGACAATATCAATTTCCGATCGTTTATTATAAAACTAATCCGATGGCGGTGATACCGTCGAATCCTTCGATACTACAGCACTGAACGCGTTGGATGAGAATCTCATCCTGAGAGCGGTTGAAGGTCCCCGGCAACTCGGGCGGATCACGTGGTAAAAGAGCCTACTGGTTGTATTATTCTACTGTGACCTGACCTTGTGTGTGTACGTTTGAGGAGAGGTAGCCAGATTTTATTAATGTTCATTGCCTCTTCTTTTCTATCAAAATCACCCCTGTGTTTTTTAATTTCTATTGCCTCTATAGATATTCTTGTACAGTAATTTTGAGATTTACCGAGTATTACTGTATCTTCAAATGAGGTAAAAGAGCATGTTCCACTACAGATGATTTGTCGGTTTGTCCGACACTTTCCCTTGGTTCAGAGAGACGAGTACCTGTATTGATTTTCGTGGTTCCAATGTGGACCAATCCGCAGCTACAAAGAATCCGGTATACCCTAGATGTTGAGATTCTTAGTAGGCCTGATAATTTTTGTTGGCCTTAATATTGATTTCACGTCTTATTATTATTATTTCTCCAACATTCTCCCAATCTGGTCTGTAGTATTTTTTACAAAGGAAAGGAAAGCTCTCTCCTTGACCAGCTTATCCGGGATTTTTCTATTTTAAGTCACCCAAAACATTGATATTGATCAACATTATTACAGAATTACAACAATAACAACTAAAATCTATAAAAACAATAAAGTTATGCAAATACACATACATATACATACACATATACAGTGCATTTCATTTAAAATGAGCCACCCTGAATTAGGTTTGGAACAATGATTTTCAGGAAAAATAAAAAACACCCCAACAATAATATACAGGGGGACTCATTTTGACATATTCACATTTACTCTAACTTTCCCAATCGCACCCCCATAGCATGTCACCAATTTTAATGGATCACCCTATATTGTTTTGCACTATCAGATACTCCATGATGAACAGATTTCAACAAAGTATTAAACATATGGTCTGAAGCTTATGATTCGGAAGCTACAAATCATTTACGTTGAAAACGAGCCACCATGAATAACTTTTGGAACAATCATGTTCAGGAAAAATAAATATTCACCTCAACAATAGTATACAGGGAGATACATTTTGACATATTCGTTCTAGAGACAAATATCAAAGCAAGAAATCAGGAAAAGAGATTTTTTATCAATTCTTAAATCAAAATCTGATGACTGGACAACGAGAAGAAAAAATGTTTCCACCAACTTCCAAACAATGGTACAAACGAGTTCCATACAACGGTACAAACGAACTTCCATTGCCGCCCTCACATGGTTGAGAATCTCGGGAGTTGAAGCTCTCATGATATTCTCTCTCAAATCTTCTAATGTTGTTGATTCTATCTCATACATTTCAGACTTCAAATGACCCCATGGAAAGGAATCTACAGAACTGAGATCCGGAGATCTTGGTGGCCATTCTGTAGGACCTCTTCTGCCAATCTAGCGACCAGGAAAATGATCATCCAAAAATTGTGGCACTGTAGCTGAATAATGAGGAGGTGCATCATTCTGCTGAAAAATTATTTCATTTTCGAATAAATCAATATCCTCCTCAATTGCCCTATTGATGCACGGTATTATTCGATTCTCCAACATATCCAAATATTTATCACTGTCNATGATTACTCGTATAAAATCAATGGGAATGATTTAGCAGTAACGGATAAAATAAAAGATTTAGGTGTCGTTTTTGACTCAAAAATGTCATTTAAGTACCAAATAACGGAAGCCTCATCTCGAGCCCGTAAGATGTTAGGTTTTACACTTCGTTCTGCTAGAGACCTAAGTGTCGAATCTATAAAACTGATTTATTGTGCACAAGTGAGATCCATTCTTGAGTATAACTCCATTGTATGGTCACCCTATTATAATGTTGATGTTGAGTTGTTAGAGGGGTGTCAAAACAAATTCTTGAGATATGTTGCTTTTCAGTTAGGATTAAATAGAGGAGAGTATAACTACTCACAGATATTGAACATATTGAACATGAACACCTTAACTCATAGGAGACTTGAAACAGATCTTGTGTTTGTCCACAAAGTATTAAACGGCAAGCATAAACATTGCGGGTGCAACCTGTTAAATGATCAAATCGATTTAATTTACTCTACGGTTTTTAAATTGGCACATCCGCATTGTGAACGGTAAATTCAGGTACTCAATCAAGTCGAGTACCTCTATTTCTGTTAGTACCCCCAGGGATGGTATATATTGGCGAATGTAATGAATCATTGTTAGTTTATTGTATAATTTTGTGAATGTCTGTATAGGACGAAACTGCAGTAACGTTAGTTACAAATAAAAGAGGTAAAAAACTTAGAAATTTTCATTTCTCTTCTCATTATGATCTCCTATCACATAGTAACGGCTACATCCATCAATCTATTGAAATTCTATATAGGCCAAATCAAGAAAAAACTGATACAAAGGTACGACGAGCACAAAAAAGCATACATAATCCTAATAACATATAAATCAAACCTCGCAACACACGCCATACAAAACAAACATAACTTGACCCTTCCAGAAAACAGAGAAGCTGGTTTCTTCATAACAATCAAAACTTGTCGGTCATCTTATGCAGAACAAACAGTATCAAAAGACAATTGAAAAAATATCCCATTGAAAGAAACTGCTACACCGTTGACGAGTTTTAATAGTTACTCTCGATAGAAAAA